GATTAAACTATCCCTAATCCACCACGTCCCAACTGAAACATTTCAGAAGAATGGTTCCGGCTGTTGGGTGCGCGCAGGCAGAATCTTGCGCCAGCGCGTCGCTGCTCGCGGACGGGCCGACACCGGAGGGGCAGCGCTGCCGGAGGCAAGCTCTCGCGCTCATGTGCGCCCCGACGACGGTAAACCAGCTGCCCAGCTCGGTTGGTTGGTTGGTTCGGTCGATGGGGAATCGGAACGGTATTCCCTTGTTGATAAAACCTGTCACGCGCTGTCAGAGCAGAGAGGCTCAGAGGCTCGGAGGTCAGAGCTGCTGGATAAGATAAAACGGGAAAAGGTTACGAGTAGTACGTGAGTTGAGTTGGAAACGGTTGGTTCAAGGCCAGCCGTCAAAGATCGGATTGGTTATTCTGATGCGAAAGCGAAGCCACTGTCAGTCAGCGGGGGGTCGTCAGTCGTTGTCTGATGAAGGAACTCTTGGATGCTCTCTCTCATCCATCTCGAGCTCGACTCGACGGATTCTTCGTGTCTTTTTTGCTGCGGTTTTGAGGCGAACGGGCAATACGTACAGCTACACGTACAAGTGCAGGAAGTTGGAGCATTGCCGCATCGGCATCGGATGTCGAGTCTTGGCGCCGATAAGAACGGCGCCGAGCTCGATGCCAAGATCTACGGCGTCGAGTTTGACGCCAAGATCTATGACGCCGAGCTCGGCGTCAAGATCTACGGCGCCGAGCTGCCTGTCATGTCACCGTAATGCCTACGTCGAGCCCAAAAGCTCGGCGTCAGCAACGATGGCGTCGAGACGTGTAAGCTCGGCGCCAGCAACCGAGCTAAGGGTACAGATTTTGAAATCATACATCCAAAGACATATTTATGAAAAAAATTCAAAAATAGAGTTAAAAAATAAAAAATTCGAGCGAATACATGGACATCTAAACATGGCCTTAATAAGATTAAACTCCCTAGAAAACATTCTTATGAGTATGACCTAATAAGAAACACCGAAGATGAGTTCTTAGGACCTGAGTGCAAGTTGAACGATCCTTTATTTTCGCCGTCGCACATTTTGAACTTTGTAATTAAGTATTTAACCTAGCCTGATTACGACATCAGCTTTAAGTAACACACACGTGGAAACTTACTCGACAAGTTCGTTGTATTGTGCAACTGTGGAACACCAGATTGAAAAGAATACGTCTACCTCAGACTTACAAGGATGGGTTTCCGCGTGCGAGGTGCCTAAGTAGTTCATTTGTCTTGATGACAAATAGATTAGGATTGATTTGTTCATTGGTTCATCTCAAAACAAGTCACTATAAAAAAAAAAAATTTGCCCTAGTTCTCTGCCGCACTGTTGTTACACCACTGTATATTAAGGTAGTGGCCGAGTCACTTTTACCACGCGACCAATGAGCGTGTTCGTCTTTCCATTTCCAGTGCCGACACACCTGGTGCTTTTTTACCGTGTAAAGTTTGCATCTGACGTACACTGCACCCTTTTTCCTAACAAAGGGCCTGTTTGCTTATCTTATAATTCATCTTTTTCTTTTTTTTTTTCAGTTGAAATAGTATTTCTCTCCCATAGCAAATCAACCGGAACAGTGTTTGACTTTTTTTTTCAGATGAAACGAACGAGACCAAAGCAATGAGGATTGAAGCAGCTTCAGACGAACGACTGTTCTTTTTTATTCTAGTGGATGTTTGATGTTAATTAGGAGTATTAAATATAGATTAATTATAAAACTAATTGCACTTATAGAGATTAATTTGTGAGATGAATCTATTAAAACTAATTAGTCTATGATTTGACAATATTGTGCTATAGTAAATACGTGCTACTGATGAATTAATTAGGCTTAATAAATCAGTCACACGAATTAATCACGGCTTATGTAATTAGTTTTATAATTATCTCATATTTAGTCCTCTTAATTGACATCTAAACATTCGACGTGACAGAGACTAAATTTTAGTCCGATTTAAACACTTCATAGTCATCAACTTGGAAAGACGAGCCTACTCAAATGCATTACTAGAAATAGGTCCCTAGCCGTCTATGCAAACTGTTCATGAGTTCGTAACTATGCCGAGAAGACAAGATAATTTTTTAGATTAAGGAATTTAATTCCGGCCACTGCAAGAGTTTTGCACTAACCATTCATTATTACATCGTTTCAGCCACCAGCTGATGTAGAAAAGCTCACAAAAAGCGTCAAAAGTATGGGAGACTGTATAAATAAATTAAGCTCTAAGCCTATTAGAAAACAACCATTCATTCTTGGTGAAAATTTCCATTGCTACAATATCCATCACTCGGCATGTCCTTTTCAAATTTGGTTGGTCGGCCTCCTTTTGAAGTGTGGACTAGAACCGCGTCCAGTGAATCGCTTTGAAAATAACTTATAAATAGGAGTAAAATATTTTTTTGTCAAATATTACATCATTTCTGATCAACCATATAGACCAAAATATTGCGCTTGCTTTTACTTGAATTTGAGGTTGTAACCATGTTTGGAAAAAAGCTAGTCATATCTCTTGGTGGTTGTAAACCAAAGGCTATGTGAGCAATCCTCTAAATAAAGCGTGCTATATGGCACTCAAAAAATAAATGTTGGATGGTTTCTTTGTTGTTACAAAAACAACACTTTTCATCACCCTTCCAATTTCGTTTTAAGGTAATAGCCTTGAAATGGCATCTGCCTGACTGTTGCTGCAGCATAGAGGCTGTTGCTGAAATCTCTCACAGAGTGCTACCGAACAGGCATGAAATGGCACGCAAATGTACTTCAATATGCAGTGGACTGCACTATACACCAATTAATCGTGCAACTAGCATATGTTTTGAGACGCGCGTATCGACTGTCCAATGCGAATGACTCCCCTGTTTTCCATTTGCCTCGACCTAGAGTCATAGACTGTCGATTTCATAGCCAGCATGTAGTGCGTGGTCGCTGTGCAACCACATGTGTCCCATGTGAGGGAGGGCCAACCTCTCGTTGCAAGCTAAAGAGTAAAGAAACACAAGTTGAGATGCTACGCCTACGGGCCACGAAAAAGGCGGCCGCACATCCATGCATCTACTCAGCTCACTTGGAAGCGTATGGGCGTATGGCGCTGACGAGAACAGCAGCGTAGAGGCTGTTCCAGATAGGCAGCAAGATCCTTCTCTATCTTCGGCCCGTTCGCTTGCTCGTATACGATCGTGGATTATAAACTAAATAATATTTTTCTCTCACACCAAACCAACCAGCAGTAAATAATCCACGATCGTTTATGATGAAACAAACAGACTGCTTGTGTGTGCTGCCAGAGCACTGGTCCCTACGTTTTTTTAACAAATTTTGGCACGAGCTCGGCTCGCCCATAGTCTCTCTCACACGACCTGCAAAACCTGGCGCTACTCACCATCACATTGCAAAAACCTGGCGATGATGACCCGTCCAGAACACAACAATTTCACGTGAAACATCGCGAGACGCACGCATTGTCACGCAGAGAGAACATGTGAACCCGGCCTGTTCCAAACGTGCTGCGATCACGCGGACGCAATGGCCGGCGAGAAAAAGGGACGTGCACACATGGGCGGAGGGGCGTCTCAGAAACGGAATTGCATGGAGACAGCAACCGGCGGCAGGAAAGCGGCCAGCGGCCAGCGGCCAGCGGCCCGGCGACCGCGGGCCGTGGAGTGGCCTTTTCGGTGGGTGCAGTGTTTGTGGCGACGAAGGCGGATGCTCGGTCGATCGTAGGAGAACCGGATCCTCGGAGCTTTTCGTCAGAGTACGCAGGTAAAAGAAGGCCATTGCGTCGCAGGCTCAAAGCTCGGAATTGGATGCCCTGGCCCTGCGGTAACTTTTAAGCTTGTCTTTTCATTGCATGATTTGCTGCGAGAAAAAAAACTATTCCTTCGCTGAAAAAGTTACGGCTCGTAAGCCCAGCGAGCAGCTGCTGCAAGCGGCCTCGCCGCAACGCTGCCCGCGCCGTGCACGAATGCAAAATGTTGCCGACAGCATCTTGTCTCGGATTTGGAGGTCAGTCAGTACTCCCCTGTCCCTCCCAAGTAAGATCATGAGCAGGTTTTAGATCTGGTTACCTGTACCTTTTAACATGGCGCTATATATCAACTACAAGTCTACAACAACGAACGAACTAATGCCGTCAATCTACACTTAAAACTGGAAGGTTTAGCCCCTTTGGATTGCAGGAAAGTTTTGCTGAATCTTGTGCTTTTTCTGTGAAACTGAACCAAATTCTATAAAACTATTGCACGAATGGAAGAAAAAATTCTTGAATCGTGAGTTTTTTCTTGTGATTTCAATCGAATCATACAAAATCACTACATGATTCCTGTGAAAATCCTTCCAAAGGGCCGTATTCATCTACAGCCTGGAGCCTTTTTTTATTCTCTTGATTGAAAAAGAGGTAGCTACTGGATTTTTTTTTTGCACAACTAGCAGGACAAACAGTGTACCAGAAAGGCCATCCTTCGAATTTGGTCATGGGCTGCACTATCACTTCTGGCCCAGGTACAAATGATATCTTTTTTATTGCCCGGCCACGCATAAAAAAAACCCTCAGCTTTTCAGATGAACGTACATTCTATCATCATCATACACACTAATGCTGTTGCAGTTTAACAACCATAATAATAGTCACCAGAACGGAAATCTTCTATCTCTGGGTCCAAAAATGGAGTTTCATCATTATTGACAACAAAATAGTACAAGAGTTCATTGCCTCCATCAATACCCAACTCTAGGCAATGAACAAATGAATATCCAGGCACTGGAACAGTTTACACTTGCAAGGATGAAACTCAAAGGAATTGACGGGGGCCCGCACAAGCGGTGGAGCATGTGGTTTAATTCGATGCAAAGCGAAGAACCTTACCAGGGCTTGACATGCCGCGAATCCTCTTGAAAGGACGACTTCCACGTCTAACCACCGATTCAAAATCATGAGAACCAACCAAAAAATTTCAGTGAAGCACTGAAGTAGGATGGTCAAACATGAACTGGCTGCAGATAAGTTCGCTCATAGAGGCCCATCACCTGATCAGCCACTGCCCACATTATAGCCTGTCCAGGTGGAATCCTCATGAGCCGGGGAAGCAAGCCTTTCCACAGGGCTCGCAGCCCCTCTTCGGTATATATTGTTCGTATTGCATGGACCATGCCTTTGTACTTGATGTCACCAGTTCTCCCTTGAGCCATCAACCTAGTCTTCACGACATCGAAGGGTCCTGTGCAGACAGGGCCTGCAGTTCCTGCAAGGAACCCAGAGATCATTGACTGCCATGGCAGGAGCACCTTCCCGTCCCCTTCATGCTTCTTCCATAGAACAATGTCAAATGTGTTCTTGGCTGAGAACATTGCCGCTTGATTTGTGCCATTGCGCATGACAGTTGGTAATGCTCCAGACCAAAGACCAAATATGCCTTCCTCTCGAACTATAGTTCTTGCACAGTGTATGGGACCTTTATATCTAAGCAAGTCGTGGCTTAGCCCTTTTTGTTGTTGCAATCTAATCTTTACCACCTGCATCCATGACAAAGAAACATTACATGTTACAAAATTCTCTCGGCATATTTTGTATCAAGCAGAACGTCACACAAAAAATGAAAATTGCTTTGCCTCCCACAAGTGGAACAACAAAACACACGAAAAGCTGCTGAAGTTTGTGCAAACTGTAAGCATATTACTGGTTCTAGATCCCGACCTTACCTCAAAGATTATGGAAATAGACACAATGCTCGGTTGGCTCGGGGTGATTCCATTTCCAGATGCACTGATGTAAATGTTTCACAGAACATCGTACATCCAGTCAACAATAAGGAAGGCCAATTTTATAACAAAAGAAATATAATGTGTTTTTCCAACAATCTCGAATTATTAGGTACCCCTTAATCATTCCATGTCGCAATAAAGTATCACTCTGAAGAGGGACAAGCTGGACATTATCTATGCCCGCTTGGGACAACATAAGAACTAAACTGTAAGCTCCAAACTGGTATTCAAAATGGCAAAATGCAGTTGTGAAGTTTGTTATGAAGCTCCTGATCCATGACTGGAACAGAGCATGTTAGTTCAAACTGAAGCATACAAAATTGCAATCCTAGTAGTATCCCATTGCCCCCCTTTGTATCTAGCCTTTGTTTTCCTTACATAGATAGATGACCCTGCATTTGTCATGTTAAGCAAAACTATGGTGTATGTTAACAAGGGCCAGAGAGTAATAATTAAAAAATAGTGTTTCCATTGAAAAAACAGGCAACATGACTATCATAATAAAACAAATTATTTCATCCTCAGTCATAATCAAGTTAACACTAAAGGAGAAACAGGTGATTGACAGCAACTCCTTGGCCAAATGTGTTTGACTGCATCAGGGTTTTAACATACAGTATTTCCCAATTACTCAATCACTGCCTTGGTCGTGGACTCGTGGTTCTAGCAAACTTCAATTTGGTTGCAAAGTACATAGCTGTCATTTCTTTAATCCCAAGCTGGCACAAATGCATCCAACACCACTCCGGGACAAGAATAAACAAGTGTAACCATTCTTTTTCTATACAGTAAAGATGCCGTACCTAAGTAATCTGAACGTAACCTCTCTCACGTTGTTTTTTTAGATAAAATGAAGCAAGTTGTTGTTTATTCAACAGGAAGCATCTAGTGTTGTACAAAACAATTTGTGTCTAAACGGCAAACGGTTCTTGTGCGATCAGTGTAAGTTGGCTATAGGATGCACAACACAACAGTGTAGCCAGGGTAAGAGAGTTCAAAGAGCGACTCAGGAACAGAGGGGATGTTCAATCTTACCTCGAAGGGGGTGACGATGAGGAGCGCCTCGATGACGCCAGCGCCGAAGCCAGAGGCGAGGCGGCCGTGCGCGGAGACCTTGCCCGTGGCGGGGTCCTTGAACGCGGACTGCAGCACGGCGTTGGAGCCGAGGCGCAGCGCGTACTTGAGCGTGAGGTGCGTGGCGAAGGGCGTGAGCCCCTTCCAGAGCGCGCGCACGCCCTCGGCTCGGGCCACGGTGGCGCCGCAGTGCGCGATGCCCCGGTACGCCCCCGTGCGGTCGAGCTGCAGGCGCGTCTTGACGACGTCGATGGGCTGCAGGCAGCACGCCTCCATGACGCCGCCCAGGGACCCCGCCGCCGCCTTGACGTACGGCGGGACCGGGGGCCGGCCGCCTGCGCCTGCGTAGCGCTCCTCGGACGGGGAAGCCGCCCCGGGCGACGCTGCTGCGGCCGCCGCCGGCGGCGGCGGCTGAGGCGAGGAGGAGGAGGTCGAGGCCATTCGGGAAGCGGCGGCGGTTCCTTACCGGGTTTCACTTTTTTACCGCATCTCAACAGCGAAGGACCCGGAAAGTAGCGGCGCTCGTTATATAGGAATCGGCGCCAGGCTCAGAGGTGCGCCAGCAGCGTCTCCGCTTCCGTTTGTGCAGTCCGCCACCTGCGTCACGGTACAGAGGGCCCGGACGTGGGCCCACTTGCGAGTGGCGGGGAGTAGTACGCGCAGGCTGCAGGAAGCAGGAGCTGAGGCACAGCAGGCTGCCACTTCGAGGGCCTGTTGGAACGCGGTTGAACTGATTTCTGTAAAATCCTGTACTATTGAAATTCCTACGTTCAAAACAAGTCCTGAGAGCAGTGCGCCACCTACCGCCGAATCCCGTATTCCTCGGCGTCAGGCACATGCGCTCCTGTCGCCACGTACGCGCAGTGGCGGAACCAGCAGAATACCAAAGGGGGGCCATCCAGCTAGACAAATGGGTAACACATGACCATGTTTTAATGTATATGTATATAATATATACTATAATTTTTTGCTGTAACAACACACAAGAGTGACTCTTGTTCAAAATCCAAGCCTTGTCTTGTTAAATTCTGAAACTTTAAATTGGTAAGCACATCAAGCTCATAATGTAGTGATGAGCATCTCAATTTCATTCTTTCTTGCTCTGAGCAGGATAAAACTTTGAAGCTAAAGAACACACATCATCAATCTAAAATGAACTGGATGAATCTTCAGGATCCAATCTTTGAAAATTAGTAATCTTATCAATGAAACAAACAAGTATTTAATTTGGGAATACAAACAAGTAAAAGGCTGCACGGATGATCATTGCACAGATGAATTAGCATACCTTGCTTGTGCGTGTAGCGTCCGGCTCTCTTGGACAGTTGCACCTGCAGACTTGCGCTCGCTCTTGATTCCTGAATCCTGATCCTCGGCTGCTCCAGTTGGCCCAGTTCGGCAGTTGCGCACCGGCGAGGGCGCAAGCCGGTGACGCCGACGCGTGGGCGCGTGGCACGGCCGCGAGCAACAAGACCGCGACGGCTGACTGGATGGCGTTTGGACGCCTCGATGACTGCTATCGCCGGCGCAATCTGCTAACCGCGCGGAGAACTGGAAACGACGCAATCACGCAAGACACGGGAGGCGGCGGTGGGGAGTCTACGACGATCTCTGCGACGTTTCTCCTTCCTGATGGGCTGGACCGCTGAGGGCTGGTTCCGCCACTGCGTACGCGGGCATCGCGTTCTGCAGGCTGGGGCTGGCAGTGGCAGTGCTCGCTCGCCCTGTTCACTTGAACTTATGGGCCCGATTTATCAACCATAGTATAATATTTTTTTTTACAATAAAACAACATAAGTCGACTTATCAGCCGCATGAACCATTAGTCGAACAGCAGTATGGACGCCTCTCAATATAGAAGCATGTCAGCAGCTGGCCTTTTCACGGGTCCAAACGGTACGTTTTGCTGTTTTGGAACGGAAATTATATAAAATGACATCTCGGTTGGGTAGCTTCATACGGTGAGAGATGCTGACCCGAGATAGAATACGTATTGGACTTAAGACGGACACTCGTCTTTGTCTTTTTTGTTCGGAAGTGCTAGCGCCCAGACGTCTGGACGGACGCCCGTATTCGGACGACCGCGCGCTACATTCCGTTTTGCGCTCCATAGGGGCCCGAGCCGCCCGAGCGGCAAGAGGGGAAGGGCACGTGGCACCTCCGATTCGGAAGGACCCGGCAGCGGTGTCGTATGGATGTCCTGCCGGCGCCGAGAGAGACGATGTAACAGAAAGTGAGAAGGAGAGATGCAACACTCGATCTATTTTTGAAACATCCAAATACAACAGTTGCAACATACGTCTGAAGGCAATTAAATACATGAAACATGCTTCTGAAACACTTGAAAAAACACCTGAAAAACACTTGAAAATCATTGCAACCATACATAAACATCCAAATAAAACATATGCAACATCTAGATAAACACACTTGCAACATACATTCGAAAAACACAGATGAAACATACCTCTGAAACATCTAAAACACTCGAAACATACGATTGCAACATGCCTCTAAAAATAATTGCAACATATGCAACATCCCCCGATCTACTATTGCAACATCCATATGAAACAAATGCAACATACATCTGAATCGTCTGAAACACTTGAAATATACATATGCAACATAGGGGAGAGAGAGAGAGCCTGGCGCGGGGAGCGCCATGGCCGCTGAGGTGGGGGAAGCACGGTCGATAGGGTGAGAGAGGGCGCCGTCGGGGGTGGGGAGGGGTCTCGCCTGGGGGAGCGCCGTCGACTCCCCTACAACACCGCCGCACCATATCCAAAGGATCTCGCTCATTCTCCATGGGTCTCGCCGGTGTGGGGGAGAGGGCCGTCGGATCTACGGGCGTTGGGAGCTCCCGGTGAGGGAGGATGCTAGGGTGAGGAAGGACGCCGGGGTGGGTGAGGGCACCGCCGCCGGTCAGGGAGGCAGCCTTGGCCAAGCATCGGGGTAGGGCAGGGCGCGCGCCGGGGTGGGTGAGGGCACCATTGCCGCCCATAGAGGGAGCGGGCGGCGCACGCGATGAAGGGGGCGAGAGGCGAGCGAGCTAGCGGATGAGGATAAGCACTGTGGAGGATTTTTAATAGCGAGCAAATGAGTAGAGGAGCTACGCCCAATGACTAGGTGTTTATTGTAACATTACCGTATTTTGATAGACGATTTGTGCCTCGATGACTAAGCGTTTATTGTAACACCCCAGGTGTTGAGCTTGCATGTTTCACTTGCATTGCATGAGCATAAGCATCATTCATTCATTCATGAGCATAAGCATGTGGTGACACATTTACTTGTCTATATTTATTTCCATGAAATGCTTAATTTCATCCATGGGTATGCTTGATGATCATATTTGATAATGCAAGTGAGTGTTGTTTGCTCACCTAACCAACCTAGAACTATTTAGGATAAAAAATGGGCTAGGGTTTATATTGCTCTTTTAGCCTAAAAATACTTCTACGTGTTAATGATTCAGAAATCACATTTTTCATGATACTGGTTTGACCTGAGTTTATCTGTAACTTAGAGTGCTTGCATGAGGTTTGACCTTAAATAAAAGTTGTAGTTTAGTTTGAGTAGAACTAACTTTGTTTAAGAACTGAGACCTAGTTCAGCCTCTATCGCAGCCAACCAAAGCCCCCAAGTTTGAATGCAGTGCTGTTTTCAGGTGCCCAAAATTGGCTAAGTCTGGGATTACTGAAAATTCAGATTTCAGTTTCAGGGTAGCCTTCTTTGTGAATTAATATCAGTTTGATTTGGGCCAAAATCCTTTAACCAATGTTGTAGTACTCCTGTAGCTCTACAACAAGGAGCAATTGGTTGAATGAATCATCAACCGGTTTAGGAGTTTTGGAGGGGGGAAGGTTTAAGTTTCAGTCGTTGTTCAGGCGTTTTGAAACGCCTAGAGCGTGCCGTCCTGACTGATCGGCCCTGGTCGCGCGCGCCGCATGGCGCCCATGCTTCGGTGTCACCCCCACCTCGTGCCCACGCGTCATCGCGCCAAAGTGGAGAACCCGAGCCACTCTACCTCGCTCTCTCTCTCTCTCTCTCTCTCTCTCGCTCGCTCTCGCCCTTCGCTCCCTCTCGCTCTCTCGTCCGCCATGGCAGATGAGCGAAGCTCCACTGCCGTCACGTCCTACTGCTCCGCTCCTCTGCGGCGCAAGCCAAGAGCGCTACCACCTCCGCCTTCGCCTTCTCCCTCGCCCCGCGCTGTTTTCTCGACCGCGTCACTGCCTACGGCCCGCTGCCGCTGGAGCAACGACCACATCAGCCGCTTGCCTTTGTGGCCAGGCCGCCACGGGCAGCTAGTATCGACATGCCGCTTCCCTCACCACGCGCGCTGTCTGTCCTGGCTGGCCACGCCGCTGCCACTTGCCGTCGACCCGCTCCCACGTCGGCCAGAACCGCCCCACCTGAGCCCGTTCCTGTGCACACTTGAGCCCGTTCCTGTGCCTGTATCGTGAGGTTGAAGAAGAGAGGGAGTAAAATGGAAATAGAAACTCTTTTGTGGTTCTAGATGCGAAACTCGTGACTTAGATGAATAGTGTGTGTTGTACTGAGGGTTGGTTAAGGAAAACTGCAGGGTCCTCAGTGCAAGATGTGTTTTTCTTTTCATGTTTAATCTTCTTCTTTAGCATATAATCTGGCTGAAACTTTGGAAATTCATAGTAATTGATAGAAAAATCATAAAATATAAAATAAAGATGTTTTGGAATCCTTGTGAGTAGTTCTATGCGGTAGAATCATAATATGGCATGTGTTAGTGCTAAGTTTTTGCTGTAGATGTATATCTATATTTATTTAGGGTTATATGTGTTTAATTCATATCTGATGGTGTATTGCTCCAATTGATGTGAACTTTTTATGCTGGGTTACTCATTTGATGCTTGTGCAGTGGTAAAAATTTCAGCTTCATTGGTGCATGTATGACTGATTATTGATTTACCTAGGTTCATGCTTGTTAAATGGTTTATAAATAAAATACATGTGTAAAAATGTAAAATGTGGTTCCACTAGCTTTGCATGATGTTGTTGTAACCTAAGGAACCTTAATATGGCCATGTGTTTACAGAAAATGATGAGTTATAGATTTATCTTGCTCTCACATGTCTTTTTGCATGTAAAACTTGTTTTGATTGTAATAATTAATTTATAAAACATAAGCATGTAAAATTTGTAAAGTAGTCTTATCTTGATAACCTCTGTCACACATAAAAATCTCAGCTTCAAATGAGATGTTTGCACACCACATTGTTTTTAGTTATATAGGTTTAAGAATTAACTTTAGAGCTAGTAAGAGATGTTTGGGAAATATTTATATGATTCATGTGGTACTTTCTTGCTTGCGTTAAGGTACAGAGGCGGCTGAACTATGTTGATGTTGGTTTGAGCTTTTGAATGACATATATGTGTGCTCTCATGTTAATATAATCAACTAA